CTGGCCCCGCCAGGCAGGGGGGAGCCCCTACCTTCCGGGGCTCCACACCAGGCCCTGCCTGCGGCGTGGGACAAACTTCTTCAGACTGGCCCCGTCAGCGCGACTGAGGAGGGGAGTAGAGGCAGGATAGCAGGGGCGGCAGGGCCAGCAGCGACAAAAAGTTGAGCCTGCGAGGAGTCATGGAAATGGGATGCCTTGCCTGAATAAACAGCCACTTGTTTCCTGGGGGGGAAGCGGTAAGGGCTGGCAGCGCTTCAAGAAGGGTTGTTGACATTTCCCCTTGAGTTTGAATGGAAAAAAGGGAAAAATCAACAAAGCAGGCACAGAAGCAGTTGGTAAAAGAGACTACAATGAAAAACACACCCCCAAATATAGACATGTTTTTTATTATTTCTTTAATCTTCCCTTTTCCCTCTCTATGTATATGTGCTGCTTTTCTCTTTAACTCCTCTAAATTACTGTTCCACAGTTAAAAACAATCTGTAGGTAGTTCTGCTCTAGCTTTTATTTCATTAGAATCAAGCTGTCCTTTATCATAACTATATCCCCGAACTATAGTTTACTTTTTCCCTTGAAGCTGGTTGTCTTGCTCCTCTTGAAATTAGGTAAGGAACTATGGCTTGGGAAATCTTAATTTCCTATTACTAATTCTTATCTGCCAGAAAATAGTTCTTTGGTCTTGGAAGAGATACTGCAATTCCTCTGTGCCTCAGTTTCTCATGTGAAAATGAAGGTGTTACTATGCCCCACCCTTGTTTTCATTTCATTTTAGACACTAAATTCTTCAGAAGAGGGAATCTGACACCTAGCCAGTATGTCAGCAGACACCTGTAAAAGCATATAGACGCCTGTAGAAATCTAAATTTATGTGTCTTCATGCCAGACTGGATCCCCTGTAAACTAGCTTTTATCTGTAAATTAACTCTTAGACCCCTGAACTTTCCTAACTAGTATGCAGTCTCTGAGTGCTCCAAACACTAGAATGAATGACTAGAGTAAATGACTTAAGTAATGGCTATCACCATAAACAACTGTATAAGCAATGCTACAATGCCCTGGATTCTAAAACCATACAGACCAGCCTCTTTTGTGCAGGCTTGCCATGGTAGACCCCTGCGTACTGCTGAGGAAGTTAAAAACCTATCTATAATATGCCGTTAGATGTGGAGGAGACCCTTTCTTAGACTGAAATAGATTCAATCATAGATTGTGCTACTTGATTCTTTATTTTGCAAAGGCAGCTCTTCCTTTTTGTGGGCACTGTTTCCGGATGAGTTCAAAATAAACACAGTGAAATAATCTTATCAAAGGAGCAGGAGCTGCTAATTGGCTGTTTAATCAGTCTCTGCTTTGACTATTCATTTTCAGCCACTCATTCTAGAAAGCTGTCTTAATGGGAGGGAGATAGCACAGCATCTTTCCGCTGAGGACCCCAGTCAGAGGCCTGTATCTTCCCCACTGTTTTAGTAGCTACAAAACGTGTAGATGGTCATCCAGCAAGATATTCTTTCTTAATAAATTCCTGGATTTGCAAATTTGTAGTCTTATATAGTCTTTTTCGCATGTAAGGTATATGCCAAACTTTTTCTAATCATAAAGTGTCATATAAATAAACAGCAGGTAACTTTTAACAATTAGAAAGAACATTTAGAAACAGTCCCAGGAATGACATTTTGTCATAGGGAGCTAAATAGGCCACCTGGACACCCCTCAGTATCTAGCAACAGGGGCTGCTTCTATTGATCAGTCTCCAAGCCTGGTCGATAGAAGGCTAAAAGAGCTGCTCAGGCTGGAGATGACTGACCTCACAACCAGCTCTGCATAGATCTCCTAACTAGGAGGAACATGCACAACTGAGAAAGGATTAGCACCAGTTTCACCATCTTATGGCAAGCGTGTGTGATCTCACACATCTCTGAGGCACACTAGCTGTTACTGCACCTGTCAGTTATAAGTTATCAACTGGTATTGCATCTTTGTCAGTGTGTCTCCGGAAAGGGTTCCCTACAGCAGCACTACTGCATCACAGGAAAGCGCCATTTCCAGAAGGGATGACATTGTCTCTAAACAGTAGCAGCTGTTTAAGATTATTAAGAGCTATGTCAAATATCTACATTTCATTTCTCTGGACAGGGTATGGACAGGTCCTCAGAGAATATTTTCTGCCCCTTGCAAATTATATTTAAGGATTTAAATAGTGCTGAATGTTCCTCAAATTCCACAAAGACTTGCCTGAAGATCACGAAAAATGAACATGGGTCTAGGAGATGCTGGGTGTCCTTCAATATCCAAACAAAACACTCCCAGCTGGTATTTAGCAGCTAGTCTGATGAGGCCTGAAACCGGTGCCTGGAACTTAATTTTACAGAAAATTAAGATATCTGGTTACCAAATTAAAGGCTGTGTTATCATGGGAATGTTGATGAAAGAGCTAAACCCAAACCGATTTCTCTTTTCTTAGCAAAGCAATCTGATTTTCTACTGATAAGGTAGAAGTGATAATGATTTAAAATTCTTTACCTTGAAACTTCCCTAGCAATCTTTAGTTTTAGAACATTTTTATGCAATTAATATGGCCTTTAAGTTCAGTGCAAACAGTGAAACAGATTGATAAAGATATAAACTCGGGGGCTGCTTTCAAGAAACAATGCATCTGCAAAGTAAAATCAAAGAAGAGGAAGAGAATTGTATTATGAAATAAAATGCCATTTATTATCTAACAGTTCTATAACTGTCGAATCTCTTCATATGATCTACTGATAGGAATTCCTGTTTAGTCTCTCACTTAATGAAATCACAGTTGAAATACAGTTTTATATTTCCTTTGAATTTTATACTCAGTCTTCCTTTTCGCAATTTTTTATGGATCTCAGCACAGCAGTCATTTTTATATATCTGTGGACTGATATCATATATAGCCATGGCTGATGTTATAGTGCTGGCGTAAAGTCATTTTTTGTGACGCTTCTACTTTGAAAATTTGAAAGTTAAATTTAAATTTTCAGGAGTGAATTTGAATAAAAGTTTTATTTTATTAAAAAGTGAATCATTAACTCATTTGAAACTCTAGATAAGTTACAGTAAATATATTGTTATAATCCAAACAAATGAAAAAGTAAAATATATGTTGTATTAAATGGTCATTATATTCTATTTTTATAGTGTTGCTCATGTTCTTCAGAAGTATATCTGCTGCCCTGACTACTACTGACTGTGTGCATTTGAGGGAACAATGTACAAATGCTGCAAATGGATGTGAGGGTGTCTGGAATGTCGTGGAAGATGTCTGCAATATTTCAGGTAATTCTTTATGGCGCACACGCAATTATTTTCATAGCATATCATAATATTTCTGGGATGAATGAATGAAGTCAGTGAGATTTCAAAGAGCAAATGACAGGAGCAGGCAGGCAACTTCTAACATCCTTGACAGTGGCCAATATTACCTTCAATAGCAATCACAATGTCCAATCTTTAATGCAATAAATTGCATTTCTGGAACGGAAGTGAGGTCAAAATCTGAACCAACTCAACAAGCGGAATCCAGTGGAAATTATGCTGTTTTAGGATCCTGTTATGCAAACCAGGCATTTAGCTCTGCATGTTCTGAACTAGGAAATCCTCCCTCCCCAACCAAAAAAAAAATCAGACCCTCAGAGGAGCTGATCTTGTATCATATCTTAGGCAATGTAGCAGTTACTTAGAATAATTTTTAAAAATAGCATTAGAACAAGAAATAGATCAAATAAAACATGCGTCCCATCCAGGGAACAATGGCACACTAAAATGCAAGTTATGAGTATTGTTAATCCTTCTTCAGTTGTTAAACAGATTCTTACATAAATGAAAGCAGAAAATCAGTCTATCCATCTTTTCACTGCTATGCTAATAAAGTATGATTATGTTTTAAGTGGGCAAGGACCAAGTATAATTAGTTTGGCCTGAAACCCCTCCTAATCCCTGCTGCAGTCAAATGAAAATGTTTTTTTCTCCAATAGCCTATTTTCTTCTTGAACCTACCATAGAAAATTCCTTGGCAATTAATCACCATCTCTTCCTTTCTTTAAATCTCCCCAAGTCCTTGCTATTAAATTTTGAGTATTCATTTTCCAGGTACCATGAATGTGGAAGGGAGAAGAGTGCCTGGGTAGAGCAGAGTAGGGCAGTGTCATTAGGAGGAGTCTAGAATGACTCCTTTGATGACTGAGAGATGTCAAGGGCTACATCAGTACCAGCAAATAAAGAGGGCAGGGAACTATCTAGCCCTAGGACAGCACGTGCAGATACAACTAAACTTTCCTACCCCAAGACTGGCTGCACCAAACTGCTTTCTTCTCAGCCATGACAAAGCAATAACTGGACAGTGCAGTTTGCTCAGCTCAGACCAGGTACCATGCAAAAATGCAACAGTATATACAGTCACTTGCAATTGGCCTAGTCCAGGCCTTTTTCATAAACGTAGCCAAAGGGATTCAGATACATTACTGCCACATCTAACTACTTAATTCCAAAATGTAGATTCTCAGCCACTGAGAATCACTGAGGCATCTACATTTCCCAGATTTATAAATTCTATGGAAACCCTCCTTCTCCGTATATTGGCACTACCTGAACAAAACTATCCATGTCCTGATGCCATAATCTGTTCTCAGCTACAGCTGATTTCATAAAATGCACCATCTAGCTTGACTTCTGACCCCGGTCTCACATTTGATCTATGTGGAGAAGTCAGGCAGGAGAAGATACTGCCTGACACCATGCTCGGTAGCCCATCTCCGAGAATATGCACCTGCAGTGTGGACTAACTGAATGACTCTGACAGATTTGTTGCAGGGATTTGAACCCAGGTCTCCCAGGTCACAAGACAGCATTTAAAACAGGGCAGAAAATTCTCTGCAGGTTCCTTCTTAGTATCTGCTGTTTCAGATGCATGTGTATTTTGCATAGAATGTCTGAAAACTCCTAAAAACATTAAGACTAATTGAAAAAAAACCACAATATTCTAATGGTTATGACAGTCCCCAAAGGAACTAGATTCAGTTCATGTTCTATTGAGTCTTTAAATATTTTATGTAAAGTAGACCAATTTCAAAAGATATGGTTAGTTTTGAAAGAAAAGTACTGGAATAACCAGTACTTCCAAAGTCAAGACACTCACCTAAAGATGAAGCCTCGAGACACAACCCTATTCTCCAGATCAGAGGAACAAGTTGAATCTACATCTGTCATATCCTTCTCAAAGGCATTAGCATTGAGGCTATTTGTCATAATGGGAAGTGACCAGGTGAAGTGACCCAGCATGATGAGTGCTGTGGATTCACTTTTGGATTTGTTGTGTTGTCCCATTTTATTTATGTTTGTGGTTGAAATATTCCATTTCCAGCATATATTGTCCTATGTGCTTATTCACTAGTATTAATGGTATTTGCAACTAGCTCAGAGAAGCCTTCTGAAAATAAATTCTTGTGATTGGTTGGCAGTTTTTTGCATCTGTATATTTCTTTCGGATAGCAGCAAGGATTGTATAGCATTGCAGGACAGTCAGATATTCTCTGTGTTACATGTAATTACTATGTGCCATGGCCTCAGAGGGTATGAACCCAGTCAGATAGCTGATGGTATTTCTCAGAGAACCCACTGGAACAGAAACAGAAAAATAGTATTAATAAGAACAAAGTTATACCATCAGTCAAGAGTACTCTGCATATACAAGACGAGCTGTATGAATGGAAAAAGCACCCTGAGTGTGGAGCACGAACAGACAGGTTGGTGGCAAACAGGGCAAATATTCCTTTGGCTAGTTTCTTTACAAAAAACTAACTATGGATTACAAATATTCTCCTACTCCATGGTACAAGTTGGATAGCTCAGTCCCTCAAATTGCAACCTCAATGTTAAATGTATGCATTATGATGAACTCTGTCTTTTATTCTTCAGAGCAGGTCTGGGCACACTCCCTGGAACACCTCCTAAGTTACTCCTTTCTCAGTCAAACTGTTTACCAACGCTTGCCAAATGCAGCAGGTTTTCCAGAAACTCACTTTATAGTTTTCTAACACCTACCTCTAGGTCCCTTTCTGTGCCATGATATAGTGAAAAAAAGGGGTCAAAATGTCTCTGAGTCAACTTTCAGGTCAGGATTGCAGAAGACTAAAATATTTCATTTTGGCAGAATCAAAATTTTTCATTCGGAAAAGGAATTCACCATTCAAATTTCCAGCATTGCAGAATGAAGGTTTTAAGCTTGGGTTTGAGAGTTGTTTTCTTACTGACTTTCTTTTTTTTTCTTTTTTTTTTCCTTTTTTTTTTTATTTCATGAGAAACAGAAAATGCTGAGGTCTGGTCCAGCCCCAATAATACCTTTTCTTAATTTTTCAAAACTGGATCATCTTCATTCCAAAAAAAATCTCAGGTTGCAATCAAATATTAAGGACTCACATTGTGAACTATATTTGAAAGTATAATTCATTTTTCATAGAATCACAGAATAAGAGAATGAGGTTGGAAGGGGCCTCTGGAGATTCCTAGTCCAGCCTCCCTGCTCACAGCCGGGTCAACTAAAGCAGGTTGTCCAAGATCACATCCGGTTGGGTTCTGAATATTTCCAAGGATGGTGACTCCACAGCATCTCTGGGAAAAATCTGTTCCAGTGTTTGATCACCCTCACAATAAAAAAGTCTTTTCTCACATTTACATCAAATTTTTGTATTTCAGTTTGTGCCCATTGCCCCTTGTCCTGTCACTGGGCAACATTGAGGAGAGTCTGGCTCCACTTTCTTTACTCCCCCTATCAGGTATTTATACACATTGATAAGACCTCCCTGAACCTTCCCAAGTGTCTCAGCTTCTCCTCATATGTCAGATGCTCCAGTCCCTTCATCAACTTTGTGGACCTTTGCTGCACTCACTCCAGTATGTCCATGTCTTTCTTTTACTGGGGAGACCAGAAATGAACACAGAACTCTAGATGTGGGGGCTGGGTAGAGGGGAAAAGCCAATACTGTTATCTGCAGTCTTCAGATGCAATTCCCACTGAGGTGATTGAAGAGCTGACTGTGCAAGAAGAAAGATTATCATAAGATCATTATGGAAGTGTTAGAAGTGTCAGTATCTACTCTGTCCTGCATCTGTTTGTAGTCATATGTGCACAGATTATGTACATATAAATAAATCAAATAATAAATAATGGCTGCTGGGCATTAAGTCAGAGGGTATTTTTCATAAATGCCTTGGTAGCATGTGTATTAGCTAAAATATATTACCTAGAACTAATTAATGATAAAGCAACAATAATTGAAAACCAGCAATAAAATATTTTCTGCTGTTCATCACAGCTGAATCAACACAGTGTACAAACAGACCAACACTGATAATAGGTTATCTCCACACTGGTTTTAAGAGGCCAGGCAAGAGAACTCTATAAATATGATGCGCTTCCTGATTCTGTCTATGCCCTTTGAATGTTCATAGCCCCACAACCTTTATGTCTCAACCCTTGCTTGTCACATGCTGTAATTCAGCATAGCATGTTCACAGTGCATAAGGGCGTTCTGAACAGACAGCCTAGCTGACTAATGAATGCAAAATATTAGTGCCATAAAGGTGGATGAGTAAAGTGGTGCTGGACTGACTAAAAGACACTAGGATCTGTGTTTCTTATTCTGCCACCTCTACCCTTTGAAGGCCATTAGAGAGACACTCATATATTTTGCAAATTAGCTAATTTTTATGCAAGCCCTTTCTGTTTTTTTTTTTTTTTGCTCTTTCTGCTCCTGAAATTCCTCCCCCTGAAGTTCTTGCCTGAAATTTAGTTATTATCCCTCACTCATTTGATAAAATATAAGGTAGAATACCTACCCACCTACCTCCACGGACCTTTATAGTTTCCATAGCTCCCATGTCATGACATACTTTCAACCCTATTTTTACCATCAGAGAGCCTTCTATTTTTGTGATCTTCAGTAGCTCCTATTAGACCTCCTGAGATCCTTGGCTCCTGAGAAAGAAACAAAAAAATGTGAGGGCTAAGGTCAGGATCACGATTCTTTTCTAGAGATGCAGATGGCAAGACAGAGATGGGGTTAAAGATGATTCAAGAAAGCCCAGGCATCATGACTTCCTCCTAATGCTGATATAAGAGGTGAAGTCAGAAGACGGACTGAGAGTTGTAACTCTTGCTGGGCTGGGACACCCCCTGTAGCAGTTCTACTTTTTAATACATCCCAAACCCTCCTTAGCTAACAACAGCAACTGGAGCAAGGGTGATGCAGACATTGGTTGAAAATGGATTTTGGGGCAGTTGAATGGGGACATGCACATTCAAATAGTTAATCTTCATGCCTTCAGGCACAGGCAAAATGTACTGTTTCCTCTTGCAGATCTTTGCCTAGAATGCCTTCCACTGTTATTCATGTTAATAATGCATAAATGATATTAGAAGTCTGTCAGTGACAGGCCACACTAAAGCCTGTCAGCAGCAATGACGACACGTGGCTGCTAGGTTTGAGTTTTACTAAAGCGCACAATCTCTGCTGCTCCACACTGGTCACCTGGGGAGCAGCAAGGCAGGAAGCCAGACATCACCTTTGATGGTGCAGAAAGACAGCATATGCATTTAGTAGATTAAAACAGATCCTTATACTTCCTCATGACCAACCTGGATCTTTTGAGCCACATATTCCTACTGCTACCTATTTTAAGACAATTAATACTCATGAGGCAAAGAGACAAATGTGCTGATTTGGGGAGCTGCTATTTTGACAAGGTAGACTACGACTTTCACAAAATAAAAGTTTCTTAAGTGGTAATAAACTACTTCTTAAGTAACTCTCTTAACTAACTAGTAAGTTCCTTAAGCAATAATAAACAGCAAAATACATGTCAAAACATTTAGTCCATAAAGTACAAGGTTGATCTATTTATCTATTTGCACCACAGATTAGTGCATGCTCTTTATTTTTACTGTTCCTGACAGTCTGCGTGAATGTCCCTGCCACTGAGTTCAAGTACACACACCAACAGCTGACTTGAAGCTGGAGTGGCAAATTAATGCTCTGCATTTTTTGTCTTAACGTTCTAGGTTAACTTCTCCATCATGTTTATAATAATATTAAAACCAAAAATCAGAATATCCGCTTCTTGGACAGCTTCAAATTTGTTCTCATAGTCAAACTTAGACAGTGAAGTTGTTCTGCATGGAAAACCATTAGAGCTGTAAGGGCATATCTAAATGACCAGACATTTGTAGGCTTGCATCATCCTCAAATAAGCTAGGGGTCTGAACCAGAGGTGCTTTCTCTTGGCATGGGGCTAGCATTATCATTATTGTGCGACTGCGTGGGCACTCCTGCATGCCATCTCTTACCCCATTATGTGGAGGTACCTCATTCAACATTGTGATTTCCAGCCTCACAGCCATGCACCTAATTTTTAGACCCAATGTTTAGGCCCAATTTTTAGGCCCAAGATGAGTGTTTCAATGCCTCAGTCCAGGTTATGACCTTAGATTTTGATGCATCTTTTTAGCTTAGTCTCTGTACCTCACCTACCTAGAAAAAAGTTATGGTTACAGTCCAACACTAGCTGTTCTCCTTTATGCTTCACTGCTGTGTAGTGCTAATTTTATCTGCATAACCAGAAACCCACTGAAGCCTGATTGACAGATCCTTGCCAGGGGTGGAGAGGTGGGGAGGGGAGAAATACTGATTTCTCTCATCCCAAGGCTGTCCTGCCTATTTCTGTTTGTCCACTTCTGACAAGCAGCTAGTCTCTCATGTTCAGCTAAAGCAGTCTCAAATCACAGCTATATTGCTCCCCTGTTCTCTTTCCCGGGGGGTATTTCTGTCAGTGAGATTCAGCACAACAGTGTATGCTGACTTATCTCACTGTAGACCCCAGTGAATATGGTCCCTTAAATAAACTCTCTTATAAGCCAAAAGTACACTAATTCTGTTTAATTCCTGTCAAAAGTAATTATTTTCAGGTTTTATGTACTTGGGAAATGTGAACTGAGACAGACATTCTGGCAAGGGGTCAGCTTGAATAAAAGAAGGCAATATTGTACCCACATCTTTATTATATCACTCAATACTATTTTAAAATTGTGAATTATGACACATTTTCAAATACAACTAAGTCCAAACCATCTTCTCTTGGCAAAGCATATTATTTTTGTGCTTAAATTGAATTGTTTTATGTAACCTTATCCCCTAAGTGTTCATAAATGTAATTATATTCTTAACTGTGAGTTCTAGGTAATAGATGCAAGGCAGAAGACGCCATTGGCTGTAATAGAATCATCCAGGTCCTGGCTGACAAATATCCAGTATTTAAAAACTGCATCTGCACTACAGATGGTTTCTGTAGCATCACAGTGCTGCTTGAGAAACAATGTAGCATTAATAAAGGTAATTAATTAAGGATGATGCTTTAATTATGCAGAACAAAAGAAAAGGATAACTTTTTAACTCTCATTTTAACTGGACTTTTTAAAAATTCCATTATAGTCACTGGGCCCAGACCCCCTTTTTATTTAATTCTGAGAACTTTTTTCTCTTGAGAAAGCTTATTTCTACAAATAAGAACTACTCGGGTAGGCTTTTAGTTTCTGATCCAGTGTCTCCTTGAGTAAGGATTAAAGAATCTGACATGAAAGAGGTAAAATCAGTCAATGTATGAGAGTCTGAAAAGTGAGCACAGAGGCTGATTCTCCACTCTGAGCCATCGTTCTGTGTGGACATCAGTCAATGTATATCATCAAGTAGCAAAATATACAGCTTCATTGCAGAGGAAAAAACAGCATCCTGTTCCGAAACTCCTTGCCCCAGACAAGAAGAGTGCGTATCTAAAGCCTGATGTCAATGTCATCAAACTAGTTGCTTTTCCTTCTAGCAAACGGAAGCAATTTTGTATTTTTGTTGATTTAACATGATTCCATTTCTTGCCAGTATAACAAAAAGGGTGAATTAATTGCACCATTACTGCATTTACCTATAAATGAACAACTTTTCATAGCTTATAGTGTTGGTGGATGCTTTCAGGAGTATTTCTCCCTGTCCATATTAAACATGTATTTTACGTAATGAATCATCCTCTGGAATTACCTTTTTCTCCTTGCAGATTATAGAGGGAATCTAGAAGATAATCCGTGATATGTCCAATTTGTAGGTGGCTAAAATTATGTGAGATGAAGCTCTTTATGCAGTAATTTCAATGAGGGTTTTTCATTTTACTGTTAGCTGCTGAATTGCTAAGCTATACTGTATGATGTAGACATTAGGGCACAGCAAGCTTGACAAAGATTCATTACTCTGCAAGAATCTAAAATGATTGTGTACGTGCAAACCACTGAATTTAGTCGTGGTATAGTTACGGCTATTTAATTAATTTTACTGCATTTTTCTTTTTCTAAATTTTGTTTTGAGGTGATTAGGAGAGAGTGATGATGTTTAGTCTTCGGTTTGACTTTTAGCTCTGTTTGCACCTATTTGTACAGAGTATTTGGAAACTTCCTCAAGATCAGATCCTGAACTGACTTTCAGGCAACACAGAACTCCCAAAGACCAGAGACACCCAGATGAATTAGAGAATGACTGCAGTGTTGCAAAGCAAAGCTGCCGAGAGGACCCTTACTGTTTTTTGGTGTATAAGAACTTCCAGCGAGTATGCCAGGCAGACGTGGTGAAATGCAGGCTCCAGACGGCCATGCAGCAGTGTTTGTCAGCGTGGAAAGAGCTGAGGAAAACAGCGCTGGGAAAGTGCAAGTGCTCAGAGCCACTTCAAAAGAGATGTGTTAAAATATGGAAGGGAATTTTTAACAACCCTTGTTTACAATACTCTCAGGAGAATCGAGCTTCAACATCTAGTGAAGATGATGATGATGATGGTGGTGGTGGTGATGACGACGACGATGATGATAATGTTCATGATGAGGAAAATCAGGACACTGACACAGGTGAGTGCTGTTCCAGGAGTCTGAACCCCTTCATACATACAGTACAATCGATATGTTTGTGAAAAAACTTTTTTGATAATTTGCAGTTTAACCTTGGAAATATAATAGTTTTATTCAAATATAAATAAATAATCTGATAGTGAAATAACAGCCTGAGTGCAAATAGTATTTTTCTTCAGTGTGTTAATTTGATGCATCCTGATCCCAATCAATGCCTTTTAGTATTGCATTATAAAAAGAAATAATAATAATGAAAACAATAATTTGGTAATAATGAGAATTCTCTGCCTGCGTTGAGTTTAAATCATGACATGTGGTTGAAATTTAAAAACTGGGTATACTGATGAAAACATTAAGGCCTCTGGCCTTTATTTATTCACAAGATACCTGATTTTATGCAATGCTGAGCATCTCTAGAAACTTACTGAGATCACAGGATGAATAATTATGTAAAGAATGTTACCAACAACCATTGGGAAATTGTGTGCATTCACCTCAAAATCTATGAATATATGTAACAACACTTTTAGAGTTTATGAACAAGCTGATAGTTTCTATCTATCAAACTAATTTGTTTTATTCTTGTTTATTTTTGCTCCTGACTCTATGCCAGCATCACAGCCAGTACTTTAAAGTTCAGAACTAAGGTAAGACATGATTTATCACTGCTACTTATGCCTATATCCATATCTTTTTGTTTTAGATAATGTTAGTATGGAAGCTAAACTACAATGGAATTTATCTGCCCTCTCCAAGCAAGGTAATTCTGAATTCATTTATGAATCCTAATGACTGATTTGGGGTGTGTTTTAAGATAATCCAGATTAAAATGAATAGCTTTAATTCAAATTATGAAAGAGCATGGAGTCAATAGATCACAAAACATATTTTCCATTAAGCTTCTGAAAATATAAGAATCCCAGAACTGATAGGTAACAGTGTTAATCCTAGTAGATTTACAGAGGCAAAACTTACCCCCTGTTTAAGGTCCAAATTATCTAGGTCTTTTTGGAAGGTTTACAGCATAGAAGTACCTGAACTAGCTTTAAGAATGCAGAAATGTCATTTACGTTACCTTCTTTGTTAGTTATTGTGGAACCTAACTTAAGACTGAATTTTGGAGATTTCAGAAGACTAAAGTGTCCAGTAGCCACTAGCATTCTAGAAACCATTACAACAAAGGTACTTTCTCCTTGCCACTTTTCACTTTCTTCTCTCCATTTACCTGTCAAGGACAGAAAACCTGCACGGGGGTTGCTTATGAGGGCCAAGAATTTTGAGAGAATTGAGAGAGAGGGAGAACTTTGAAGAATGTGCAATGGGCTTGAAAGGGGCAATGCTGGAAAAGGTGAATCAGAGTTTTGGGGAGTCAAACTTGTCTGTAATGGGAATACTGCAGGCAAAATGACTACCTGTCGTCACTTGAGTTAGGCTTTCTTATGATTACATTTTAAAAATCATTATTCTTTGTAGAATACACCGCAAACAGAACCTGTTTGGATGTGAACAAAGAGTGTGTTGAAGACGAAGTATGTAATAAACAGTTGTCCCTATACCTAAAGGTTTGCTCAGTAAATAAAAAGTGCAACATGAAAGAATGTCAAGCAGCCATAAGATTCTTCTATCAAAACATGCCTTTTGAAGTTGCCCAAACCATGACCTTTTGTGATTGTGTCCAGCCTGATGAATCTTGCCATAGAGCTAAAGAACTTCTTCATGGCAAGCCCTGTGCAGTGACTGCAATTCCTGCTCCGTCATGTCTAAATATAATTCACACGTGTGAAGAGAATGAACTGTGCAGGTAAGTAGAAGAAAGTTTACTTTTCCTACATTTTGCCTAGCAATGTGCATGAGAAAAAAGATTTAATCAAAAAATTATATATACGTATACCATTTATCTCATCTATTGCAAAATGATTTTCTGTGCTATATCTATCATATATTATTACTTGTATCTGACACGTGCAAAAAGCTTTTTATGGATTAAAACAGTGGAAAGTTTGCTATCTTTACACTTCAAACCTGATATTTCAGTTAACTGAGAGACTTGGAGCCCAGTTCTAAGCACATCTTAGCCTTCAGTGTTGCCATTTAATTTTTGGACAAAACGTGATAATCATCTTATAACAGTGTTCCGAACTATTGAGATTTCAAAAGTATGTTCTACAACTTTAAAAGTGTTTGCTGTAAATTCCTTTTTCTCTGATAGGGAGAGGAGACAGATCACAACCAGTATTTCTTCCAACGTCTATTCTTTGTGCTGTTGTTATTAAAAGGATCCAGATGCTATTAACAGCAGGAAGCTAACCACATGACACGCTCACTTGTTCACCTGCCCAGCTCTTTCAACACGCTCACCCATCCCCCTCATACCAGTTAAAGCAACAGTTGGGAGGCCAGCTCCAACTGTGAACTTGTAAAAGTAGGGTTATGCTGGTGGGCCAGTGGCCTCCAGGTAGATGTTAAGAAAGTATCTCAGAGGGTCTTGTACTTCAGCAAGTGTTTGTATAATCCTGTGGCCACCGGCCGCATGCAGCAATTGTGGCAGTCAAGTGTGGGTTCGAGCTCCGCAAGCTGTCATGGATGCCAGTGTGCACAGGTGTTTCTTGCAGGTTCAACAGCTCTTCCAGAGCTTATCAGTCCCTAGGAAATTTTCACATGTCGCTGTCCTACTCTTCCTCCCTTTAGCGTGTTGTTTGCTGGTAACTATTTCTCTATCCAAACCTACAGACAGCTACATAACCCATTCTCAGACTCACCCAGAAGGGGCCTCTGTGGCACCTTGTCCAAGAGATGTAATGACCTCACTGAATGTTTACATGAACTGGTCCTCCACCCAAATGTGCTTCAATTTTATTAGGTTAACTTACCCAATTTTAATAGTCAAAAGTTAGATCATCTGTCACTTGGCACAGACATTAGCAATTCCCTTTAAGCATGTTCTCATCTGAAAAGTGACTACAAAAAGGCAGTTTCACCTGTACGTCTGTCACAACTGTCTGTATCAACTGTGGTAATTTCCCAAGTAAAACAAAAAGGTTCTTTTTCAACTAAGGTCTTCAGTTTCACATGGGCTTTTCTTCTGCCTGTGTTTGATGACTCTTAACACCATTTTTGCTGGACAAACTATGTCGTTAGGTATTTTCACTATTTCTTTCTTCAGATGACACCTGCCAGTCTGCACGTTTGCCCTCTAGCAGTTTACACAGATTATGCAGCAGACTGGGCAAAGTGTGGCAGGTTAAAGTAATTACCTGCTCCACCTGAGAATCTGACCCTTTGTATCTAACTGTTGTACAACCAGCTTGGCTTCTTTGTAAAACTTTCGTTTTATTCTTCTCCTCTGAGACGCATTGGCATGTGAAAAACTCTTTTGCTAGCCTGAAACATGCACAGACCATCAAAGTCATGAAGAATAACATAGGTTTCAGATTTTATTTTGTTTCAGAAAACATGCAATAGGATTGATCTATTCTCGTAGTTCTACTTAATTACCACCATTTGTGGATGGTCAGTTGGCTCATTTAAGTTTTCAGTGTGCTCATTGGATTCTGTGTGGATTAGACCTGAAGTTTACCTCATAACTGTGCTTAAATTAATCTTCAGCAAACAAACCAAGAGGCAAAGAGACACTTTCAGTCCTATGCAAGCTGTTCAGATTGACATCAGTGGGAATTGCCCATTTTTATATCAAGAAGATTTGGGCTACAAATGTATGTCTGTGCATGTGCATGTGTGCACATGTAATATCATAATGGAGACTTGCTGAATTACCCATTATTTTGGGAGCATTAATGTTTCCTGGTATTGACAATAAGTGGATATAATTAGCAAAATTACTCTGTGAATTATGGCTAACTATATCTATAAATTAGGGGGTGAACAAAAATGATTCCATTAGCAGAGAGGTGGCATCTACTTTGAACTCTTTGCCTGTATAATGAAAATACTTATAAATAAGGTCCTAGCTGGTATCGTAACAGTCCACAGTTTTCAATGTGACTTGCTTTATAACAGCTACACAATAACAGCACTAAATTAATAGACCAATCTTTATGACTAAAGAAGGAATATTTTAATATATTACTGTCCAATATCCAATAATAGTTTATTTCTATTGTCCTTGAATATTTGGTGTAAGTGATAAATGGTTTTCTAACCATTATCTTTGGTTTTCTTAGTTAACTTTTAATAGACGTTTTCTATTGTCATATATAGTGCATTAAAGGTTAATTTTATCCAACCACAAGAGCAAATAAACTGCAGTCATTTGGGATTATTGAGCTGGGAATGAAATTAATCCTTCCTGCAACTCACCTCCATTACCAATTAATTTTTAAGGTCTAATATGTGTAGCCAAATTCCTTCTAATTTATCTGGATTTTTGGATGTTTTGCATTTTGTTAGTATTTTGGGGTTTTTTTTAGCATTGGATGTAGATTATTTTATATCAAATATCACACTACCTAGCTAACCTTTCCAGTAGAAAGCATCTCTTTTGGTTTCATTGTAATGATCGGTTTTATTCCTTTACCCACATTCCTACTCTGAGTATCCGAGATTGCTGGTACTCACACTGATTTTCACCGGACCATGGGAAAATCTGCACAGGTCCTGGTTTGGAGTACATTTGTTTTTTCTCAAAAATTTTTTGAATAAAACTCATTTTTTCCTCAAACTACAATTTTGCAGTTTCATTGAAATCAATTAGGGGTAAATCAGAGCAGAATTTAGTTGGCTGTCATTGAATGTTGTGATTATTAAAGTTTAAATGGCACCTTCAGATACTTTCTCTTTTTCTGATTATCCTTAAATGTCTTTCTGTTAAAATCACAAAATTTTAAAACTGTAATATATATAACTCATTTTTTCCTCAAACTACAATTTTGCAGTTTCATTGAAATCAATTAGGGGTAAATCAGAGCAGAATTTAGTTGGCTGTCATTGAATGTTGTGATTATTAAAGTTTAAATGGCACCTTCAGATACTTTCTCTTTTTCTGATTATCCTTAAATGTCTTTCTGTTAAAATCACAAAATTTTAAAACTGTAATATATATATATATTGTCTTGAAACTTTAATCAAGGATGACATGCCCTGTTCTGCAAATGCTGACTGCAAAGCAGCTTACATTAGCAACTGGGGCACGATGCTGCGCATGGAGTGTACCTGCCACAACTTACCTCCCACCAAGCAGTCTTTATGCAAGCTCTTCCATCACATGCTTCATAGCAAATCCTGCGTCAGTGAGTTACGTGAGTAAGACATAACACTTTAAAGGAGAATTGGTTTAAAGGATTATTAAAATGCTTACTTGCATCAAATTATCTTAACAGTAAACCCACTGATTTCAGTAACATTTATATCTTTAGTTTTTAATCCAAATTGAAACACAATATGCAGTTTTTTTCTCTACTATTGAGAAATATTTTATATAAGTAGTAAATTAGTAAAACTGCCTACATGACTTATTACATGGATTTGCTGGAATGACCATAAACGAATAATTTCTGGGGCCTATAGTATTAGGTAGACTAGAACAGTTCCAAAGCATTTCTGCCATTGGCTTAACATTGTTCTTTGGTACAGTATTTTCACAAATAATATAGTAAATGATATTATTTTTTCTTTCTTTTCTTATTGGAGTCTAAGTATTAGTACAGCTTACTCTGCAGGTTAGCTAATATATATATTCAGGAAATTGTTTAATAAATGTTAACCTTAAAAATATCTGGCATTGTAAGAACAGTTCAATTCTGTTGCAAAACACAACAAAAAACAGTAGCATTAATGGTCTTTTGTCTCCAGATAGTTTCTTAACAGAAATGAGGAAGAATGCTAGACTGAATCGAGAGTTTTCTAGCTTTAAATTCTGAGCATAGACCTTGTTTGCAGTAGAAATCAGGACATACATAACAATGCATTAATTGTCATTTTTTTGAGGAGAGTTAACTTATTAATTTTTTTATTTGCTTTAAATATGGTGGTACAGTATGTTGCAGGCCTACGCAGTTGCTAGCAAATAGTTTAAACTTATGTTCAAAATATTATTAATATCTTTTAGTTTCGTCCACCTGGAATTCATATCTGTGTATCTACCGTTATCAACATTAACTGTATTTCTGAGACACTATCCTAACATCACTGAAATATTGCAGGTTGCTACCAAAAGGTGTTAGCTCTCTGTGTTGCGTGCAAGACATCAAGCTAGGAATGAGAGGGCCAGAAAAGTGGCCTTTACCAGGACCTGCATTTATATCTGCACTAGTAAATAAAATAGACCAGGAACTTGCCTCCTCCCCTGAGGGACACTGGCATAGAACAGATTGCAGTCACACCACTGAGCTTCCCTCCTGCCTTCTGCTTCCTCAAACCCCCAAAAAGGAATGGCTGCCACCAAAATAGCTATTGGAAAGGGAGTTGGGGCCATGCAAAATCCAGAAATGTGCCTGGGGTCCAGATGCCTGGGAAAGCGCTGGCTAGCCCCAGTCAGAACTGGGATCCTGCTGGTAGTATGATGATAAATCATTAGATAATTTAATAACTATTAAATTAATAGATAGTTAACTAATGGAAACGTAATTAATATGCACTGATTAAAAATGAAAAGTTGGACTAGGAAGCCCTACACACATTTAGCAACGGCCTTCATTCTGCTGAAAATACTTCAATGATTTAAACAGGACCTCTGGAAGAAAAAGCTGCTATGCACAATGAATAGAGGCTTCGGTAGCTGGCCATCAGCAAAAACCCTAGGATTAATTCAGAGGAGCTATACGTATGCTTTCTCAGAACCATTCAAGCCTTTTATATGCTAAGTCAGTTATTCAGTTTTGTTAAATATGAAAATCCTTGCCAAATCCTACTTTGCCAGGGAATTATTAGTGCAATGAATGGCAATATGGTGCATTTATTAATGTTTTAGTGTGGATCAGAAGTCTGCCTTTGAGGCAAATCCCCTGTTTCTCCCCGCTTCCTGCATTGTTGCTCAGACCACAGGGCGGTTCCCGGGCAGACAATCCCTCTGGAGAAAATTAGGCTGGAAGGTTCATCTGCCGCATCTGTAGCCCTCCTGCTACTACCCGTCCCTAGGACCAGATTAAAGACCAAAGCATCCTCTTCTCCTCAAATTCATGTAATGTGGGACTCAGGTCTATTACACCAGCTCTTTTGCTGTATAAATCCTTTTGGTGGACACTGCTTGCTAATATACCATACCCTATGAGAGTCATCTATATTCCCAACCTAGCTTGGGAAAAGTGACAATTCATAACGGTTTCAGTGAAAAGTGATTGGCAGTAATGACTCTTCCATAGTTCATCTAAAGGACTGCCATTTAAAAATACATCATAGTCTCCAGACTCCCCTGGAAAAGTGATACCATAATACTGTTCGATTCGGGAGAGTGCTAGCTGTGGTGTTGTTGATGAGCATTATTTATTTGCTTGTTTGCTTTATGGCTGCATTTAATGGTCCAAATGAGTGATCACATCATTGGGCTAGTTATTCTTTACCTATAAAGCAAAAAAGATGACCCTCATATCATAATAATCAAATAACTGCTCATCAGCTTTTGCCATTCCCTGAAGCAGTCTCAGGATAAAATGTTTTTCATGATGGAAACTTTCCTAACCCAATTGGGAATGAAGAAAAAACACCTGCTTGCTCCTCTGTTGCAATGAAGTTCCCACTAGTTAGACAAAAATACTTTGAGGATCTAAGGCTTTGGCTAAGTACAAGGTTGGCATCTACTTCACTGAACACTGCCTTGGTGCTGTGAATCTTTTTTTTCTTCTAGATGCCCAGCTGTGATACAACTAAACTAAGAGAGATATGATTATGTTGTTCATTGTAAGGCTGCCACGTTCAATGCCATTACCATAGTTAATTAATGGTAATCACGAGATGTGGAGTGAGTGCTCTATTGCAGAACTCATCCAAGCTCTTCTGCAAACTCGTTTCTTTGGCCTGGGTGTGAACTATGGGAAACTTTCACTGTTACAGTGATGGTGACTTTTTAACATTGAAGTCTTCCTGAAGAGGCAAATGCCCAGGACCAGCAAAAGGCATCTTTGTCTCTAGAACAGAGCTGAAGCTAGACACCTCTACCTTCCTGTAAATGGCATTACACCATCACGCCCTCCTGCTGTCACATGGGACTGCCGTGCTACAAATGTTTGCTCTTGGGGCTCTGCTTACGAGACTAAAGCTTGCAGCACGCTCAGTAAGAGACAAGAACTGCAAATGACTGGCTGCTATATGAGACAGGAGCACAGTGTAAACTAGTATCAGCATAGGATCTGTGTCACAAAAGGGATAAGTAAAAATGCCAGTGACAGAAAGTAAAAAGTTAAGTTTCCAGACTATTTTAACTTTAGGTTGTACTATTGTATCTCACAGAAATAATATGTTACAAGGAGATTTAGCTCAGGGCTATTTAGACGCTATTCCAGACTGCAGACATGATTCTTTATGTCTCACTGTTTTCCTTCCTCTAGGGAATAAAAAATTGTCAGCTTGCTCCTGTTCATGTGAGTGATCATGCATATTCTTGCATATTTTAGCCTCTTAATCTGTAAACTGTTCTACTCAGGTAGATCTTTCATTGGGCCATTTAAATATAAGATAAATATTTTCAGATACATTAGTGAAATTATGGCCACGGAGAAGGGTAGGGCTTTGTAAAAGAGTCGAGGTCTAGAAATCCACTTGGAGAATCAGCTTTCCGAAACTACTTCAAACTACTACCCACTCCTCATCATTTCTATATTTGTTTTCCTTTTGATAGGCCTATTTATAAACTTGTTACTTTTGTTTCTGTGAAAAGAGAATTTAAGTAATTTTGAGGCAGATAATTTTTTCTTTAAAATGCACTTCCCTTATAAAACAAACTACAGTAGAGATACAACTGAGACAAAAAAGGAAGAACTTGTATTTGCTCATTCATCGAGTATCAGTAAACAATGTTTTTAAACGGCTGCCTTTATAAAATCCTGTGGCTCCTATCAAAACAACAAAAAATAACATTCACTTAAGTCACCTTTTAAAAATTAATTTTGAATAAGTATTTTCTGTTCAATATTCAGGTCAAATCTCAATTAAGAAACAAGATTTCCATTGGGTAAATACCGGAAGAGCAGGAGAAAAGCTTTCCAGAGCACAGCTACATTCTTCTTCAATTAACGGTGAGTTTGAACAAATTGCTTCATGTTTTTAATAGAAGTACTCTTGAAATTTCCCTTACATACAACAGGGAAGACTAAAGCTTGGGGCCCTTGGATGGGTTCAGGAAAGTGCACTAACTCTATCTGTAGCTGCTCCATTCAACATTACGTGGACAAGTCTTTCCACCTGTTTGTCTTCGTTTATATAACTACAGAATAAAGATAATGAGACTGACCTAGTTTTGCTGATAAGCGGTTTAGAAATAGATGGCTCAAAATCACTACATTATAATTGGGGAAAATTAAGCTATTAAGCCTGCCAGAGCCTGACTCTCCACACATTCATTAAAAAGCAGTAGTCATAATGTGTAGTATCAGTGATTAACTTTGATGTCACACCTACTTCTCTCTTCGCTCTCTTGACTTTTTGTGCCATAGTAGTTGCAACAACTAAATTAGGAAGACCCAGTAAGTGGCCTGAAAAGGTATTTTGTCACTCTCCGTCTGACATTACCTTCTCATGCAACAGAAGGGCAAGCTATTGTGGATCATGATATCCCACAGGTTGAATAGCTGCATCTAGTTTTATTTTCAAGCACTTACAACACACAGTTGACATAAAGTTAAAAGATATTGAATTAATATACAAATTTTCTCATAGTTGTAAGAATATTGATTTTATGTTTCCTTTTGAAGGACCCCATTACAGACTGAGAACACTAGAGAGCTAATGCAAAAATATTGACTGCAATGAGAATGACCTCTTCTCCTTTAGGTGGAGCAGATTACAATACTCTAGCCATTACTATGAATTAGTTCCCAGAAACGTTCATGCTGAGCATCTTTTACAGTGAAAAAGTAATTCAAGTTCTGTGCATAGTGCGAAATAAAGGGTATTCTGTTGTCTCTATCCTTCAGCTATCCCTGAAGTGGGCAGTCTGGGAAGGATAAAAATAAATCGTCATGACTGGGATTCCTGAGACCTGTATGCGAATAGTTAAGCATCCATTTGTAACTTTAGCATTAACATTACTTACTCAAGACTCACACATGTGATCTGAGTGTTCGGTGTAGTTAACGAAGAAAGTCAGGGACTGTCGGAGGTGGATTCATCCCATTTTAGCTTGTCTCTGCCGGTATCCAGGGTGTCCTGGAAGGGTCACCTGCTCTTTGCTTACTAGAAGGGGAGCCTGAATCTCCAGCTGGAACTCGACGCTAATGTTTAAATAATTAAGGTTAAGTGGGAGGAATCCTACTCTCAACTGAAAAAATGTAAGATGTGAGGTATTTCACCCCAGTGACCACTATTAACTGCATATCCTTTCAGTGGGTAAAATGTATTATGCATTTTCCTCAGAGATCCAGATAAATGTTTGCAAAAAGCAGGCTGCACCTAGTTAATTCTGCTCCCATTGAAGTCTGAATACTTTCCAAAAGCCCTTCCTTGAACTCCAGTAGAATTTTGGATGGCCTTAGAAAAATAAAAAGAATGCTGACGAACCTAATCCTTACAATAAAATATTCCTCCTGTTGAAGCTGTCATGTATGCTAGCTCCAAATTCTTTCAGCTATAAATGTCTCATAGGAAGCCAGATCAAGGGGAAGAATCTGATTCAGAATATCTACCTGATGATAAAAAACATATTGCAAATTGTTTCATAAATCCCACTGCCAAAAATATAACCCAGTATCCTAGATTCATACACTAGTAAATGTGTATTACTCCAGCAGCAAAGGGGATTATCATCTTTACAAAACACTTATCTTTACTAAAATTAAATCCAAAGTAGAATCCCAGGGTACAGAGGCAAAATGGTTCAGTGGTTAACCATAGCCTTTTGTGTATGTGAATATATTTGCCAAACTTGGAAGGCAGGAGATAAAATTTGCAGATATCTTGTCCCTACATCAAAACTTCAGAAGAGTCCTTTATTCAGCTTGCCTTTGAAAGACAGAAGGATGTCTTTCACAAAATCATATTGATGATCAGCTGCAGATGGACATGCTAGGAAAGCAACTCTGGATTTCTTCAACTATCTTATAAAATTCAAAAAGCAATAAACTTTCTGTCATCTATTCAGTGGCAATGCAAGCCATGCCATTGGAAAGGATTGTTTTTAAGTAAAAGGAGTGATCATACTAAGTAATAAACATATATTTTTCATATTTACAAAAAAATATAACCTCGTTCAGTGGAAATACTATTATTCCAGCTTTTGATGGAACCAAAGACACTCTGGTGTGAATGTAGCAGCCAAATAATTTGGGTCAAAAGTATGGGATGAACAAATACATTATTACCATGAGGCAATCAGTTACTGTGGATCAACCAATCCACAGTCACTGTACAGAGGCACACTCTTAGCCTGTAATAAAACAGAAGCTATTCCGTTGCTCGATGAGAAAGGGGAAAGTGTAGACACAAAAAGTGCAGAGAAGCTGAGGCCTGGCAATTTAAACACTCTAGCGTGTCATATGTCAAAGGCTTTAGTCTCCTAAATATAGTTGTGATGCTTGCAAATGGGATGAGGTTTAAAAAAAAGCACTTGGGTACTCTGGAAAACCTTGGCCCAGTTTGTATCAGCAGCGAAGCACGACCTGGCTAGAGCTGCCGGTGTGAAATAACTCCCTTTCACTCAGCAAGACCAATCACACAAGTAACTGGCTCGTGCTCGGAAACATTGACAGGAATAATGAATGCAATACCAAGACTACCCTGAAACGAAGTCCTCTGTCTCTAGCCCTCTGGTTTGCCAGGTGATAACAGCACCTCTTAAAAAATGTAACTGGATTTACACTCATTTGGATATCCAGGAGGGTACGTGGAAACGTAGTCATCTGTGCATTAATATAACCCAGATACCCAGATGTGATGTAGGCAGAGTCCTGATCTTATAGAAACTAATGAGACTTTCATTGTAGGCTTAGATGGGGCCGGAATTTGATGCCATTGTGAAAATAACAAAAAAAAAGATAAACGGAACAAAAACTCTCCAAACTTCTAAAAGGTTATTGCTTACCTAGTTATGCTGTTTCAGCCTGGTTTTGACTTTATCCTATGCAAATTAACCCCATGATTTTAAAGATTCACAGCATTTAAAAGATTACTTCGTATACTTTAATTTGAAAAATGATTCATGTGTGAAGATAAGTGTTTACTTTCATCAGTGTAGAGCTTTAGAACTAAAATATTTTTTGGCTGGAAGAGGAAGCTGAGAATACAGAACTCTTATCTGCTTCTTGTGAGATAAAATAAAATTAAGCTTAACCCCAAGCTGTTGAAATTAATCTTATTTTCCCCTTAAAGTATAGATTTATTAGATATTTTCTATTGTGGAGTGTTGCTGTACTGAGAATCCAGATAAACAAGTAATTGGCATGGTTTATCTATAATTATACCAGCTGCTGTGGGAACTGAGATTAGTTCAGCTCCAGTGACTTTAATTTGTAAAGTATGAAACATTGTCAATCTCATTGTTTTACAAATATGGAAAAAAAAAGCCTGTGACCACCTGCAGGCAGCCAAGAAACCTCTGAGCATCAACCGGAATTGATCTGCCCAATGAATATTCACAGTATGTATACATAAACAGGTAGATTTACAGATGAGATTAATCCCAGTAATTTTTCCACTGGCTGAGCCCACAGCTATCCCTTACCAAACTTTATCATCCGAAATGTCCTTATGTCTATATAGAGAGCACCAGCTACTGCCTCAGTGGTACCTATGCCACCAGCTGTTGTGTCCCTGCATGTCTGCAGCCTGTCCTGGGAAGGGCAAGACACTTGCCACATGCCGCACTAGCCTGCCCTCGGACCCTATAGAGCTGCCCCTATAGAGCTGCCCCTCGCGTGAGCCACCCAGTGCTGTGGCTGCTCTCCGCCTGGGCAGGTTCACGCTCTGAAGGACTGAGCTGAAAACACCTCGAGTTTTACCCTCTTTCTATTACCAGGCTTCAGACATCAGGTGTGCCTCTACCATTTTCCACCATACACCCAAAATATTTGTAGCCCTTTTTCCGTAAAGTCAAAGATTTGCAAAAATTTGCAGTTTTGCACCTCGATCAGCTGAAGAGAAGCTTAACAGATATAGAAATAGAGATAGCTATTTCTTAGACGAGTAATGAACTAGGCATGTGGGTACACTATATTTTCAACCATTTCTGCTAATAACATGAAAGTACTCCAACTTTTAATTGAGTTTTTAACTCTTAATGATGGATTTGTCTGCTTTCTAGCGAGCTGTGAATGCGGACACAGCATGAGTGCTAAGGCTGTTTATAGAACCACACCTACAAATGTGCTTAATTGCAGCTAGTGTTCTTATTATTTATTTCATGCACTGTTTTTTAAGCTTTATGTCATAGTTAAATTAGTTATGTGATGTACAATATAGAGAGATACAGAGGTAGGTAGACAAGCATATGTACATATATGCATATATATGCATGTGTGTGCACATATGTGTGTGTATGAATGAATATATATGTATGCATATTAAATGATCAATATCATGTATTCAGTGATCAAAACGGGACAATGCAAACTGTTATGTCATACTGGAATTTAAATATGCATTCTAATAGTTTTCGTGGAGAGGATTTGGGAAGAACAGTCAAAATTTCACATCTACACTTCTAAACTTCCACAGCACTATTTTGCATTTCAACAACTGAATGGACATAGATGACTTGTGAAAATGAATGCAATCATTCTTCTCAATTTTAAAAAAAGAGGAGAGTGTCTATCATGAAACATACACCCCTAGCAATGTTTTTCACAGAAGGTAAATAAGCAGATTCACTCAGCTCAGCCACAAAGAACATACAAAATGAAGATTTAGCTCTTCTCGCACACAAGTATGCCCTCTCTCTGCTTTACAAATTCACTCACTTCTCAGAAGGCAGGAGAAAATACATGGCCTCTAGCATGTTTTCGTCATTAACATCTTTTCTGTGTTCCCCATAAAACTGATAATATTTTAATCAAATCTGTTTTACCAGAAACTACGTCATCAAAAATGTAGTATTATATAAAGTTTTGACAAAAAATAGAACATTTTGGTTTCATTTGATCATTTTATCTGAGCATTTCTTTTGATCAAAATGCAATAATTTGTCCAACTTTTTAAAGAAAACATTTACTTTAAAATGTTATGATGGAACAATGTTAGCCCATTTTTGGTTAAGTAACCAAAACAGTAGCCCGTCCACAGTTGCTACTGCTTAAAATTTTCCTAATCCTTATGGTAATTTAAAGTGATTTTTAAAACTTCCATTTGTCTGAAATACATGTGAACCTTGCTTTCCACTTTAAAAATAATTACGACCCTTGTAGCCCCTTCCGTGGTAGAAAGTTTTAAAAATTGCCTGAGTGTACAGTTAAGATTCAGAAACCTTATTATTATTTTCCTAAATCTCATCATGTTAAAGAAATGTTATAACTTGAGAGGAGGGGCAATTTCTAACCCATTTTAAAGTGTATGATATTAGACAGTCCTGCCATTGGGCAAAAACAGATCTCTCTTCCTTCAAAGATTCACTACATTAAATATCTTTCAGTAGCTTGCTGCATGATATGCTATGTTCATTCAGCATTACTTGTGATAGTTTAATCATTGTTTTCTTTTTTGTTTTACCTGAGAACTTGACTTTTGGATAACTGTTAGAGAAAAAGTGAGTGCCCTTGTGGAACAGAAAACAGGCAGCTCCAGCTCCCTGCTCAGCTCTTCTCCCACTGATTACCTTGTGGTAGAAAATATATTCACTCTCTCTTACTTGAGCTGTTTCATTATTAATACTCCCTGTATTTGTATTATACTACAGACTACATTCATTGCACATATGTAGTGTATACAGAAATATCTTATTTAAGGCCTATGCACACATACACACACACACATACTACAAATACAATAACTGATAACTGATTCAGAGACCAGCATCTGGCCTTCTCACAGCTTCTTCCAGGCCCAGTGATG